ATATTAACAGACAAACTGACTACGAGTGCAGAGCTAATATCATTCACAATCTACCATCTAATATTATTCACAATTGATTTGTCATGAATTAATTAATTAAGAAAAATTCAAATTCAATTTTGTCAGAATTCAATTTAAAATCTGAATTGGGATTATTTCAATTGTAGAAAAAATTAATTTGAACTGTGCATGTGTGCATGTGGAGGTATGCATTATTAGTTGTATAACTGCAAGTAAAAACTGTTTGAAATGCACTTGGTAGCTCGTAATACTGCTGCAAGTCCGAAATTTGGTCTATATTCCGTCAAAAATTCAGTTGTGTATTTCAATAAATTAGTGTAGAACAACTGATTCAATTGATAATTTATTGATTTCAATAAAAATTCATTTTCTTTTTTAATTTCAAATTAAAGTTCAAAAGTTTGACTTAATAGAAAGATTGTATTTTTTGACTGATGTATGATTTTATTATGTGATAAGTTTAGTAGCAATTATGAGTTTAGTTTAGCATATTCAAATTATATAAAAATCATAAAGTGATGACCATTTTTATTTTAAATTATTCTCTGTTATTTTAAAATAAATTTCTGTGTTTCTTATTTTAATTTATTTCCATGTCAATGGCCATTTTGAGTACAAATAAATTAGTTGCTGTAATCTTACCCATGGTTTTAGGAAAAATTTTAAAATTGTAGAGAACATTTCGTCGGCAATTTCTTCATGCCTCTGTAGCTCAGTTGATAGAGCGTCCGCCTAGAAAGCGGTAGGTCACTGGTTCGAGTCCAGTTCGAGGAGAAAAATTTTTTTAATGAATTTTTCTGCCTTTAACTCGTTCCTTTGATTACGTCATTCATCTGTTCTGCAGTTGCATGAAGAAATTTCCATTAAGATAATTTAAAATTATCCTCAATTTTGAAATTATCTTGAAAAAATTTTCAATGAAAAGAAGTCAAATTGTCATACTCATAAAAATGAAAAAATAAACTCTTTATGAATAAAAGTAAAAAGTTATGAATTAAAAATATTTTGAAACTGAAATTTAAGATTTAATCATATAGTCGTATTGAATTTATTAAATATTTACTGCTTCACCCAAAACATAAATTCCAAGACAAGGCGGAAAATAAGCGCCATTACTTTAGTTTATGTGTAAGAAACACCAATAAAACCCCAATGATAATTTATGTATGTTCATATATGATTTTAATCTCACTTCAATCAGTTTCCGAATTGCAATTTAAATTCTCATAAATTATTGTATGATAACGTTTTCAAAATTTCCACAATATTGAACTCATTTGGACTATAGTCATTAAATCATAATTAAACTGACTTTAATACAATGACACAAATTCAACGAGTTCGGTCTTTGTTGAAAATCCAAATTTTGTTTTTACACACAATGTAGCTGACATTAAATTTCGATTTTTGCTATAGATTCTTTACAATTTAATATATTTTAGATGCTCCTATATATAAGTACATGTAATATCACCATATCGCATGGATGATCAACTTTTATTTTCCAAAAATATCAATAACAAAATTATAGTACATTCTGTAACAATGCCGCTACAAGAATCCTTTGGAAGAAATTGTTGCATTTAAAGAATATCTTATTTAATTGCTAAAGCTGACTTATGTCTCTGTATGTACTACGTATACATAAGATCGTATGAGTTGCTACTTTGTTCGAGTAAATAAAATTTCCAACAAACACCTGTAATATATTTTTTTTTCTTTTGTAACACTGCCTTACTGATGGGACAAGTTCATGTACAATTCCTAGATATTTTGAACGTATTTTGTATATAAAAATGTTTATCCTATTATTTTATACATTAATTTTATTTACCTATAATTTCTAACAATCAATATATAGGAAAATTTTTATTGCAATAATGCCAAAGAGTGCTATAAAATAGAATTTTTTTTTGTTGGCTTATTTTTATTATTTGTTACGCCATATATCATTGGAATTTATAACCGCGCGATATCCAGGACATGTAATAAATATTCCACATGAATATTTATGTTTTTTTTTCCTCCTTTTTCTTTGTGATCCATTTTTAGTTCAGCCAAGATTTCAAATCTCACAATATATTTATTCATAATACATAATATATTATAATTTATTTAACATAACTGTAAGTAAGTAGTGAGTAAGTAAGTATATGTCAACTTGTATATGTGGTATTACGATTAAAGTATGTTGGTATAAAAATCACCTTATCGAATTACGAATTAAAGTAGTCCAAATATAGATGAATTTTTGGTTAAAAATTTTTTTCATTATTAATGTGTTAGTTAACATGATAAAGCCTTTAGACTTATGCAGTAATATATTGATATTCGGATATGTAAATACACGCCATTTAATTTTAAAAACATGTAAATGAACTTTTCGAGAAATCCTGCTAATTTTACAAATTTTTGCTCAAACACCTATTATGCAAATCAGAAAAAATTCACACAAAAGATGCGAAAAAATTGAAATCAGTCAATTGGTTATTTGCCTACACACTATATTAATGGCAACTAGAAATAGAAGAAAATGAAACTTGTAGACTTTCAAATTGGTTGTTTTTGAAATGGACCTCTTAACCACACAATTTGACGATCTCAAGTAGATTAATGGCGCTTCTTAAATCTAAGTACATTAAAAGCGCGCTACAAAAAACACTCCAACAATTTACATTCTTAAAATGGTTTGATTCAGGTTCTTACTTTCTAGACCTGTTATTTCTGAGACTTTTGCAACTAATTTGCGATTCACATAAAAATGAAGATTAGAATATCATCTTTCTCTTCTCGTAAAAATGAATAGTAAAATTTAGTGCAACAGGTAAATAACGATTAGAACAAAAATGTTTGATTTTTTTTAATTTTAATTTTGCAAAACGAGAAATTTGTTGCCGCCAATGATACGCCAAATTTATTTTAACTGTCCTTTTTCCCGACTTATAAGAAAAATGTAAATATTGGAACAAAGACATCAACTTTAAGACTTAATAAATTGAGATAGAAAAGATCTATAAGACTTTTATACATAAGTCTGGACAAATTCTATACCTCCTCTCTATATCAGAAGTATAATCAAGTCTCGCACACCCCGTACAATGTATTACAAAAAAGAACAGTATAATCTTTTAGATAATTTTTTCATTTTCCCAAAAATTAGTTAAAATGACTTGGGCGTTTTAAAATTGGCGTGCCAGTATTTAAAGATACATACACGCAAATAGCTACATTATGTATGTATGTAGTATATACATAGATTTTATAAAAAAAAATAAAAAAATTAATATCAAAATCTACTATGATTTTTCTGTTTTTTCTATAATTTTTGGAACAATATAAAAAATTTTTGGAGGACAGAAAAAAAAAAACATGAACTTTATTGAGTTGGTAATAAAAATATTAAAATATTTTTTATGGTAGATTAGACTAAAGTTTATTATATAACGTTCACGTTTATAATAAAAATTAATACCTATTTAATTTATAACTGTACATATCATACCTTTAAATACCCGTGTATATTTTGATATAGTACACTGAGTGTGAAAAACGATTAAAAGAGATTTATGATGAGGATCCGAGGGATGTTTTATTTTCGAATTTATCACATTTATATTTAGTTTAGTATTTTCGTTTCTAGAACTAGATAATTGATAAAAGTATTAAAAATTATATAGTATTTAAAAAAAATACTAGGTTTAACTATTGGTATATCAACAGACTTCAAGTTGAAACACTTAAATTTTGTAAATTATTTTGTTTATTTTTACAGTTCGTTTGAAATTTTATTTTTCATAAATAACAATTCTATGGCTTAGAAAATAATATATTTTTATTCTAGTGACAAAATTAGGGCTAATATAAAAATATTTAAATTTTTTCTTCTTCTCCCGAAAATTTTAAATTTTTCGACTTACTTGGTTTTCCATTTGAAATCATTTATTTTCCGTGAAAATTTTTAAATTCCATTGCATACTTTTAGAGTGTGCTCATATACAAATTGAGAATTTTTAATTTAACCTTTAATTGAGAATTTTTTGCACACATCGTTTAAAGAATGCAGAAGATGTCTCTTAAAATTTGAATTATGGTTGCCGCTTTAACATACTTCTTCTTTTGAACACAAAATTTTATAGCATTTACGTTTGCATCTTCATTTATATTTCGCATTAACAAAATGAGAGTCAAAATGAAAAACAACTAAAACGAGAAATGAAAAAATGGCAGAATACTTATTGAAATAATACGTCTGCATTAGTGTGACAACATCTAGAAGCAGATCAAACTCTGTATTCAAAAAGGATTCATAAAACCAAGAAGGAGAATAAAAGAGTAAAGTTTTTTGCAGTGTTTTCATTGTTATTTTCCGTTTATAAAAACACCATTAGTCTTTATATTGTCTTGTTCTTTTTAAAAATTTGATTTGAACTTAGACATTTTTTATACGCAAATACATAAATATGTATCTAAACATACTACAAAAAAATACATACATAGTTGGCATGTCCTTCAATATTTAAAAAAAAAAAAATCAAGTAATTTTAAAATATTATTGCTCTTTAATAAAATTATGACAAACAATAATCCAATTATTCTAAGAATATCAAATATTCTAAGGCGAAATCGAAAATCCTCAATTAATTGCAGTGCTGAACTGAAAGTTTATGGCAAAATAAAAACCTAAAATTTGATATCGTAAAAGTGGTACTACTCAGACAAGATTTAGATATCAGGAACTTTTTACATTTTCCGTGAAACAAGAATCACGAACACATTAGATTTTTATCAAAATTTAATCGAATCGGACAAGTTGCATGAAAAATGTTTGATTTGTACACTCTGACTCCAAATTATTTGTACACTTGGATCCAAATACTCTTATATATTAAAAAATTTCAAACTTTTACGTGTGTGATCGAATTTAATTTTAAACTATTGTGAATATTATTGACTAATTTTTCAATTTTGTATTATTTCAGAAGTTGGTACCATAAAATGTGAAAAGAATTATGAAATATGCGAAGGCTGTGGACTTAAAATACAAGATAGATACCTCATGAAAATTGCTGACGTTAGTTGGCATGAAAGTTGTTTAAGATGTACATACTGTGGAATACAATTAAATCATACATGCTATGTTAGAGATTCAAAAATTTTATGTAAAATGGACTATGATAAGTAAGTATCGAATCTTAACCTTAAATTTAAAACTAAAATCTAGATTAATAATTACATTATCCTCTAATTTAATTTTTTTGTTAAACTATAGATTCTTTAGTATAAAATGCACAAGATGTTGTGGTCGAATTTTACCAAATGATATGGTTATGAGACCAAATCTTCATTATATATTTCATTTACAATGTTTTACATGTTGCATATGTTGTCAACCATTACAAAAAGGTGAACAATTTTTAATGCGTGGCGGACAATTGATATGTCGTCATGATTTTGAAAAAGAATTATATTTAGTACAAAATTGTGATGATGATTATTATGATGATGGATTATTACATCCACATCATCATCACCATCATCATCATCATCATCATCGTTCGCGTGATGGTAGACGTGGTCCAAAAAGACCAAGAACAATATTAACAGCAGTACAACGTAAACAATTTAAAGCATCATTTGAATCATCACCAAAACCATGTCGTAAAGTTCGTGAAGCATTAGCTAAAGATACTGGTTTATCAGTAAGAGTTGTACAAGTCTGGTTTCAAAATCAACGTGCAAAAATGAAAAAAATTCAAAGGAAAGCAAATAAAGATGGTAGTAAAAATTCTGATGGTTCTGATAAAGATAAAGATGATAAAAGTATAAAACAAGAATCACCAAATAGCGAACATGGAAATTATTTAGGTTTAGATGGTTCATATTCATCAAATCAACCCTTAAATCCAAATTTACCATATTCACCAGATGGTAATTTTTAAAATTTTTAATATTTTTTAATTTCAAAATAATTATTTAATTTTTTTGGTTTTTAGATTTTCCTACAAATTCAAATGATAGTTTTTGTAGTTCAGATTTATCTTTGGATGGCAGTAATTTTGATTTAAATGATGAAGGAACATCAGATACAATATCATTAAAAAATTTAGATCTTAATAGTAATGGTAATGGTGGTCACAATAATTCTGCACATGATGCATTTAACAATTTAAACAATAATAATAATAATAATGGTCATCATGGTCATAGTAATAGCAGTGGCCCAAACAGTATAAATCCAATTGATAAATTATATTTAATGCAAAATTCTTATTTTAATAATAATGAAATTTAAAAAGAGTAAAAAATTTTAATTGAAAATAAATTTGTATTTGTAAATAATTTATGTATTTGAACAGTCAAGTTCAAATCTGTCATGTAACTATCATAATTATCAGGATTATCAGTCATAACTTATTTTAAAAATCATAGCTAAAATCACAGTATGTTTAAATTTTTCAAAAAATCTTTTCTTTTTTTTATTAAAGTAAATGTAAATTGTAATATTTAAAATCAACAAAAAAGACGAATTTATTAGATTTAAAAAAAAAAAAAACAAATATTGTAAAAAAATATTAAAAGAGTAAAATTGGAAATTTGAAAGCAATAACAAGTTATACAAAAATATGCGACATTCTGCAGATATGGCAACTTTTTATATTCCATTTTTAGTTTTCTGACAATTAAGTCTTATTAAATATGTTTAATTTCTGAGAACTAAGAGAACAAATCGATTGCTTGTTGCAACACTGACTTTATTCAAAATTTGCATATTTTAGAAAATCAAATTTTTGGAAAGTTTAGGAGAAAATATGTTTTTAAGGTTTAAGTATTTTACAATTTATTGTAAACAAATTAATTGTATAATTTTGGAGCTGGAGAACAACAATTTCTGCACATAATAAGATTATTTTAAATGCTTATTCCTGTATAAATAACTTAGAAATCGTATTTTTTGAGTTATGTCATTGTTGCAATAAATGGGCAACAATAACAAATTCGGCTTCACATTAAATTTTAAAGTGAAGTTTAGAATTTCTCTTCCAATCACATAAACAAAAGTGGTTTTAAGCTCAGATCACTTCTTAATATATCTAAAAGAATATTCTCTAGTATTCTCCATCAGCAAAGAAGAATTAACAATAATTGTGTATATTTTTGTAATCGATGCAAATTATAATTAGTTTCACTCTCCGTCCGTCCGACCGCCCGTCCGTGGACATGTTATAGAAGTTATTTTCAGTTTTGGAAATACAAATAGCCTTAATATTAATAAAAATATGAGACAGGTACGAAATTAATTTGAAATTATTGTCAGAAATAAAAAAATATGGAAAGTAATAATTGGAAAAGGCATTTTAAATCTTTAAAAAAAAGAGGCGAAATTGTCTTATTGAATTGAAAAGTCGCTTATAAAAATAATAAAGAAAATGTGATTTAAAAAATTATATACCTACATACATAACATTTATATGTAAATATATTAATATGTGTAAAATAATTTATTCTTTTGTAATTTTAAGAAATCTAGTCATATGTACTTGTACATTGTATTCGGTAATAACAAAATCAGACTTTTAACATCAGATTTTTTTTAGCCATAGTAAATTTTTTTATTTCTTATATGTCATTGTATATTAGTTAAGTGTTCATCCATTAAGTTCAATTTGTATGAAGTTATGTATTTCAAAATCTGAAGTTTGGCGCTGGTGTTTTGACAACACACAATATTATTCATTACCATTTTTGAAAACTTTGGTATTAGTTTTGAAGAATTCGATTTCTTTTTCGTAGCAGTCTTGCCTCTAAGCCCTAAGCAAACCAGCTAAAACATTCTATTTCTATAGTCCAAAGCTTCTATGTGTAGGTTTTATTTTAGAATATTTTTTTATTTTGTTTTAAAATTCTTATAAAATCTATTTTTTTGAAAATTTAAGAAATTAGTGTTATAAACCGTAAGTCTCTTCAAGTTCCTTTATGTGGGATTCTTCCGATTAAAAATCAGTCTCGTTCTTTAACATTTCAATCTTATTGATTATATTTAATAATTTCCAAAATTTGAACAAAACGCTGACCATTTTAAAATAATAAAAAATTACCTCGTCCCCATGAGCACAAAATGACATTCAACTATTTTAGATGACATTCAACTCTTTTAGAGTAGGTATACAAATTCACTAATTGTTTTAAAAAACTTGAACATTAAAGTGACAACATTTGAATTGATTATCAATCAAAAATTCATCAAATAATGAACATTAGGAGTTTACAAGAGCCAAATTATTAGACGAACTTTTTAAAATAGTTTCAAATCCAGAATGTTATAAAAAAAAATACAGATTGTTACAAGTACACAAGGAACTTAATTAACAATGTTTCATTAATTTTTTAATTGATTTACGAATATATCAAAGAATTTAATAATTAAAACCAAATTCACAAATGAATATGAAATCTGAAACACTTTCTCTTTTCTACATTAATTTTACGTTTATAATACACTTTTGCATTTATTTTCTACATTGTATGCTCATACGAAATTTTTGAAATAATATGTAAATGCGTCGAACTCCAAATTTTCAACCATAACTTCATACAAATTAAACTAACTTACATTACAGATTAGAAATTACAAGTAGCCTTTTATCTATTCATATAAGTTGATATTTAAAAATAATTTGCGGGTTTTCGTTTATGCACACTGCATACATTAGAACTAAAATTTCTAAATTGCAGCGTTAAACAGTATGCAAAAACTTTAGCTAAGCTTTTTTTGTTTACGCAGTTTACAAATTCTGAAATTTCTAAATAATCTATCGTTCGAATATAACAGAAATGACATTGTTTATGAAATTGTATCCCAATACTTTTCGCCACCCAATTCGCTGCAAAATAAGGCAATTTTAACAAGATTTGAAAACTTAAAGAAAACTTACTTTAATAACCCTTCAATACCTGAATATATGACATTTTGAAATTTAAAATTTTTTTTGAATTTTTAAATTTAAAAAAACAAATTCGATGAAGCAGCGACAAAATTAATACTAGAGGTCTGCCCTACATTTCTAACATTTCTTTATTGCAGATTGAATTTCCGAATGCACTTTATTGCAGTCAGTAATTTCTGAACGATCTATATTTTCAGTGTATGTAGCATGAATTTTCGAACGTACTACAAGTTAGAATTATTCTAGAACTGAATAAACGAAAACCCTCTTAATTTTCAATATTATTTGATATATTTATGTTCAATAAACAATGAACGAGGAGAAGTAGAAATCTATACGATAATGTTAAATTTAATTTAATCAATTAACAACAGCGTCTGATACATTTCAAATTGTAACTGGAGCTTGTAAAATCCGAAATTTTTATTCTTAAATAAGTAAAATATATACAATATGTTAAATCTCGGATTTCTCATTTTCTTTTAAATTTATTAAAGTGGAAAACTAATTGCAGAAAAATTAAGTATATAACAAGAAAGTAATGATTTGTAATTTCAGTTTTCTAATTGCTAAGTCTCGCCTCAATTTCAATATTTCTTTATAATTTAATATTTAAATAAAAAAATTCAAAAACCTACTTTATAACATTCATAGCTATTGTTGAATTAAACATATTTTAAATTATATATATTTAATTATTTAATTTTTTAATATTATGAGAGAAAATTATTATTTTTTTTAATTTATTCACAAAACAAAAAAAGTCAATTAAATTTAAGTCCAATTTTATGAAAAAATTTAATTGTAAATACAAAAAAAAAAGAAGAAAAATAGAAGATTGTTTAAAAGGTCGTAATTTTAACGAAAAACCAAAACAAAACTATAAAATTATGTAATATTATACAATTTAAAAAAAAACAAGAAATAAATGTACCTTATAATTAATTTAAAAAATTAAATTAGTGCAATTTTTTATTAGGGAGCAAAAAACGAATTGAGGCCGAACTCCAAAATATGACCGTACTGCAACAATATTCGAACACATTCTATTGATGTAAATTGAAAATAAGAGGCCAAGAAGCATAAGTGTTTTTCTGAAAATTTTGAACACACCGTTTGTTTTGGCTTGGCAAAAATGCAGTTCTATATTTATTCTAAATTAAAGTTTTCATTATTCTAGCATGTGCTTTATATATTTGCCAAATATGGCAGCGGATATTGAATTCAATTACGTACTATCCTGTAAATACCTAAAATTTTGGAAAACTTATTTTTGCAGAAAATAAGAAAAGAAAATACTGAGGCTAGTAGACATCCGCAATGTCGCCATCTGTATTGAATTGATCTTTTTACATAGTTTTCGTAAATAAGGAACAAAAATGCGATGTTCGATTTATCTTAAGTGCTTTGCAAATACCTAAGTTTTTCTAATTTTTTTACTTTGTACCATGATTTTTTCTTATAATGGATGAGTTAGAGAAGCAATGAATTTCCCCATTTCCGATTCTTTTTGGTAGTCATGTAAACCAAAATACAAGTATACTTAACTAGCTTTCCCGATATTTTTTCAATTTAAATGTAAGTTTTTATCTAGTAATGCAGTCTAGGCTCTTAATATTTTGACCTGAGTGTAATTCTCCTCTTTGTTACTTTTTTCTGGACATTATTTATTTTTATGCCTTTTTAAATTTTTAAAGCGTTATTCATTACAGATGATACACTCCTTTATAATTAACGTGATTCTTATTAAATACTGCATACATTTTACAATTTTCAAGAGCACCTATATTATTATAAGACTACAGGACACTATGATTTCAATTATGGACGTTGATTTTGTACTAAATCGAAATATTTCATTTGTAAATTGTGACTGAAAGAAACAACTTTCAGAATAAAAGTGGATGATCATAGATGATTAGACTTTTTAAAATTTCATGTTATACAAATTTATACAAATGAAATATTTTAATTTAGCACAAATCGACTTCTATAATTGAATCCTAATAGTTTTTCAAAATGTAAGACATTTTATATCCTTCATTTCTTATGCATTTCAATGTTAACTTAGAAAACCACTTACAATCACTTAAAAGCAATCCAATTCAAAACATACTTTATTCTTACTACAATTTCCAATTAAAATTTATATTATTGACCGCATCACATTTACATTAGATCTGTACTTTGGTAAAATAATAAAATTGCCTTGTTTTTATGTTAGTAGCTATCTATTTTAACTTTTAATTGTACGGAGGGTAATTATTTAATAAAGCCATCGATATAATTTTTAATTGTATGAGCACGAAACAATTTATAATAGACACAATGAATATCTAACTCCAATATCTAACATTATTTTGATCTTATGAACTCGCATAAAAAACTGATATTTCAAAACCAATATTTATTTTAGGTTTAGGTTTCATCTCTAACACTTGAATAATTTTTTTAGCCCGTCGCAAAAAAATTTAATATCTGCTAACATAAGCATTAATGAAAATTCGATTTCCAAAAATTTAAAAAAATTAATTTTAATTGTGAAATTATGAAGCAAATTGCGGATTAATAATCAGTTTATGAACAATATAATAAAGGGAGAAATAAGGGTTATTTGGTTGTGATAACGCAATTAATATTGAATACTATTAACAACAATTCTACCTAAGAAACAACAATAAATAAAGCATTAAATTAAAAAACTTACAGTCACATAACTAATGAAATAATTGTTTAAAAAAATGATACTAAAGTTTCACCATCTTGAAATCTATAATCAATATTATGATCAGTTCCATAAGCATGAATAATTTCAAAATGTGCTGCCATAGTTCCAATTAAAAATATTATATAAAATAAAATTAAAAATATTCCTAATGAACGTCTTGCTGTAAAATTTGTTAATGACAAAGCGATTATTGTTGAACTCAATGAAATAATTAAAAATGTTGAACAATTAGAACTTAAAGATCCAACAGGAATCTAAAATGATAAAATCATATTCAGTAAGGTGCTTTCGAAAAAAACCAAAGCATTCATTTTACCTTATAGGCATTCTTTTCACTCATATAACTCTTGTATATCAAATCAATGCTTAAAGTTATTAAAATATCTAAATTTGTTTATTATTGAGTTAAGAGGTTTCTTAAGAAATCTTTAAGAATTAAAAATAATAGCATATTTTAAACTAGTGCTTACAAAATAGTTGTACATAATTTACTTTAAAAAGGATACTAAACATTGGACTACCGAATGTTGCTGAATAAGCCATTTCTTGATATCCACGTTTAGATAATGCTATATCAGCCATTAAATCACCAACACAATTACCCCATGATAATAATGTACATCCAATAAAAGCTGGACTTAATCTAAATACTATTGCTAATAATGCAATAATATTTAAAATTTCATGAGCAATTGCCCAAATAACATAAACTGATCCAATTATTGAGTAAATTATGAGAAACTAAAAAAGAAAAAAAAAAATATAAAATTTAGAGAAAAAATTTTGTGTATATTAATAATTTTGCGTTGATTATACCTTGTGATATTTAGGAGCTTCCCTTATAGTAGTCGAAAAAAATACAATTAAGCTTAAACCAAATAATATTGGAAGAAGAAACCATAATAAATTCACTTTAAAAATATATTTGGGATGAACTGAAATAAAATTGTGAAAATTATAGTGAATTGTAAGTAAAATAATAAATTTAGTCCTGAATTGATACATTCAGACACATTCAAGTTCCAAAACATTTCTCTGACATGCATCTTTTATATGGTGAGTTTTCTTGTTATTTACTTACAGAAAAACAAATATAATACAAGTGGCAAAATTGATATCTGGATCGAATTTAATAGATGACACCATCCACTTTTTAATTGATCATGATCGACAATTGGAATAAATAATTTCAGAACAAAAGTAGATGGCATACTCAAAATAATTAAGCATCTTCCAAACAATCCAGACTTTTTCCAATCTTCAATTTTAAAAACTTTTAAATTACAAATGAAATCCAAGAAAATATTTTTACAGCTTTCTAAAAAATACAAAAGGCTTAGACATTACTAACTATTTTAAAATTAAAATTTCAGCAACCTTCAACGGTATAAACAATATTTTGACTTGAAAATTTCATTTCCAATGCTTCACCTATATAAAATGTAGATAAGTTGTGAAATGAAATTATTATTAAATAATGGTAGCAATATTAAACTCACCTGATCTCTTTGCATAATGTTGGTCCATGAATACAACTATGATATAAATAAAATATATCAATGGTATAACTGTAAAAATTATCAATTATTAAAATTTAATTTTTTAACATCGCTTTTAATCAAATTATATACACTTACACATACATTCTCTAATTGTTATAACATAATCAGGTTGTAAAAATATTTCAAGTAATAATATTGATATTAGTAAGAATAAAGAATCTCTCAAAAAAATCATTGGATTTAATTTGAATGGTTTAATACAAATGATAATACCACCAATTAATGTGGTTACAAAAAGTCCACCACCAATTATTTGTGAAAATAATATTGGATTTTCATGATTAAGTGTTGTAAAACAAGATAAAAAATCAGGTGATGAATTTCCTAAAGCTAATAAAGTTAAACCAGCAATATTTTCATTTAATTTCAATAATTTTCCTAATGTCGACAATGCTGGGCAAAAACTAAAAAATGTATACTTTTAATATTTGTGTTAATTTTTGGTAAAATATTTGTAATTACAATTTGTCAGCAGCTACAGCTAATATTAAAAAGTAATACACACATATTATTAAATTTAAAATATACGATATTATTTGACGAATTCCAGAGGATGTTGGATTGAATATACAAAATTGAAGATAAATGTAATTAATAAATTGAGTATGAGAATCACATAATCCACTATTTTTCACAAAATTACATCGATCTTCGAATGGTAAACCTTCAACATTACCACATGATGGCTGAAATAATTTTAAAAATTATAATTTATTTAAGAAGTTGCACAAGTTTTGAATTTTGCAATATTACGAGTATTAATATACAACCTTTTCTATAGGACCAACAAAACTTTCATGGTATAAAAAAATTGGTATTGTCTGATTTGTTGTATTGAAATTTTCATATAACACCATCTTTATAAAACAAAATTTGAAAATTTTCCGTAAAAATTCAAAATAATTGACGTTAAATAAATTTAAATTTTTGATAATTGTTATTTATGACAATTATTCAATTAAAAAAATTTTCTTTTCCAACGAGTTCTCATTCAACTTAATTGAAATTGAAATTCACAGATGTAGAATCACTGGTTTATTTTCATACGATATACAGTAGTTAATAAACTTTTAGTAGACCGTAATTAAATATCTTTATCGTTGGTTGGTGTCTATGTAAAATTTAATAATTAAAACCGATGAGGTTTGTGATTTTCCAAAAATTTTCGCCGGCTTTTCAAAAATAACGTCATCTAATATAACATTTATCGTAATAAATTAAAATAAATTATCATAGACACAAACCAAGTGTAGTTCGCTTTTTTAAAAATTTATCATGCTCCTTGCGATCCTTCATGCTTCTTGTGTTGTGGATTTAAATAATTATTCACAATATTCACAAATTAACATTTTTCCCGTTAAATATAATTACGTTACGACAAAATGATTATGCAAAACTACTAGATACGAGTATTTATATAAAATTTATTTCTTGAGCAATGTAAGTTTTTTGATACACTTATAGATATTTATGTTTAAAGTTAATTCTGAAATTTATGCTTAATCTAAACCGGATTTAAAACCAGTGTTAGTATGTCAGTATTTGTTTTAATAGCATAAATTTTCTTAATTTAACTATTTCAATGAAAATCCGACAAATAAGTATAAAATTTCAACAATAATATAATTTTTGACATTTCAAAAATTATATGTATTTTAACGTCTCAAAATTTCCCTTTCAAAATTCAAAAATTCATTTGGAAGTAAAATGTTTTTGTTTTTATGTAAGTTCTTCGATTCAATTGACTGTTTGGAAATAAGCCATCAAAATATCATCAAAAGTATTAGAATAAGATTTGGGTATTGAATCAATAAGAATTCGAACCGGAAATTCACCAAATTGATAAAAATAGTCAATTTTTTTTTTTGAATTATAACATTTCAGGAAGAATAAGAATATTAGATGGAAATGCAATTTTGAACCTGAAAACTGCAGAAGTTGAGCATATCATTTTTTATAAAACAAGCTTCCCAATTTAAATCTCATAGTTTTATTTTTATTTATGCGCTTCACATACTGAGTTTTCCAATACACAATGTTATATTAAAATTCTTTCGATAAAGAAAATGTGAAGTGTGAAGCTTTAAAATTCGCTCTTAGCTATTTATCATTTTAAATTTTAAACGTTTTGAATCATTTTAGTCTTGAAATGAACTTTATGAAATTATATGAAAAAAATTTTTTTTCAACATATTATTTAAACTTTACATATTATTTGACGTTTAAAAACTTAAAAACTTTGATACATTGTATAATTTAATTTCACTGCTTACTAATAAGCAAACTTTATGTTTTAATTTATTTTGGTTTTACAATTTTTTATTATTTAGCAAAAACTGGGAAGTATACTTAGCTTACAGCATTAACAAAAACATTAACCAACTGAAATAAAACATGAATCGAAAAAATTTTGGGTACATCAAAACAGATATTTCACCGGTGATACGACGTATACGTTAGGTATAAGGTCTGTCTGGTATAAAGCTTGAAAATAACTTTAAAAAGAGAAAAAAAGTGACGTCTTTTCTCGCAAAAAAAAGTCTGATTTAAAAAGAATAAGCCAAACTGAATAGTTGAAAAAACTTTGAAAACTTTATGAAATAGGTTATTAACTTCAAATTTTAAAATATTTATCAAATATAAACAGTTCATAAAGAAAGAAGAACATATTAATATGTTTTGACAGATTTTGTGAATTCAAAAATTTTTAAAACACTAAATTTTACTTTACAATAAACTTGAAAAAACTTTAAACATTGAGAAAGCGATGACAACATCATTTTCTCTCAATTTTGTTAAAAAAGTATTGCACCAGACGCTTTGCATCTTAAAGTTTATAAAGTTTTACAAATTTTTTAATAACTTTTTTATACCAAAAGAAACCTATTACTGTTGTTGTTGAACAAGGCATGATTATTGTAGTAGTCGCAGACGTGATAATTAAAAGTGGAACCAATCTTGATGTGATGGCAGATGTCAAAATCATTTTTGCGAAACTTTTCACACGACATGATAGTCATTTTTTATCACCTCAATATTTGCATTCGATGGACCATCACGTTAGGGTTTTCCAAGGTTAAATTCATAAATAAAATGAAAAAATCCAGGAAATTAGGAATTACAAAAATTATGTATGTATTTAATTAACAATATAGCAAAAATTTAATTCTACTAATTTTTATATTTATAATTGTTGTTTTTGTATTTTAGAAAATAAAAAGAATATCAAGAATGAGCAATTTTCCAATCCTAATACAGCCAAAGGTTTTTTTGGATACTCAAATAAGCATTAGCAAGTTATGTTTAAGTTTCTTAAGTAAAAATTTTAAAGTTTTTCCGAAATTTTGAAGTATTTTGAAAATATAAAAATTTACGTTTGTTTTATTTTATTATTTAAATATAATACAACATGTTTTTGAAATGCTATGGAAAGTTTCAAAGGATTCAAAAAATCGCTAGCAAATGCTTTAAAACTTTCTTTGTTTTTGTTTATCTGCAAATAACCAAAATATTTTGCACTTAATTCAATCTTAAATTTTACTGTGACATCATGTCAGCTGTAAATGCTATCAACTTAAAAATATTTTTTATCGCGTCTACTGACACGATCACCAGAAAGACATATTTTTAGTGATGTGAGTTTTTGTTACGTCAGTGACACAATTAGCAATATGTGGGTGAAGGTCTAATTTTTTTAGTTTTATTTTGAAAGTTTTTATTTTGCCATTCAAATTTTGTTACACTGATTATTTTATCTTAAAGGTGGCGTTTAGTTAAGTGTGTCATTTTATGTCACTACATTTGAATTCAATTTTTAATATTTCAGTCAGTGTTAAAGTCTATTTCTTAAAATCATCAACACATTTGAATTTTTTCTCATTATTTAAAATTTATTTCAAATATATTTTTTTTTCATTTTGTATTTTATTTTATAATTAATATTTTTAGGTCGGACGTCTCTAAAATTTTATTTAATTTTATATTTTAATTTAAAATAAATCTTATTAAATTACGTAATGTACAATGTATGTAGGCATTTTTCTTTTTTTTTTTTTTTTTGTATAATGTCTTAAAATTTTTACTAAATTTTTTGTGTATTTTCAAATTTTTTATTTTTGTGTTTTATTAAAAATAAAAATAATTTTTTACGTTATTTTATGTATGTATGTATGTGAAATTAAAAATAGTTTATATTTTCTAATAATTTTTAATAATTTTAATTATACAATATAGTTTTTTAAATGGAAAAAAAATTCATATTATCGAAACCTTTGGTACAATATTGTGAGTTAAAAAAAATGGAATAATGTACGTAAGTGCTAATAAATAAAGAAGATAAAATAAAATACAAATGCTTTTATAATAAACAGTATTAAAATATAGTTAAGAAATAAAATACATTAAAAATTTCTGAATGTTTCGTAAAACATTAGGAAGAAAAAATTATAATGATTCAAATATGAAATTTGAAATAAAAAATTGCATTACTTCACATTAATTTTGTAATATAAACCCGCGGAATGAATATTGAGTGCCGTAAACTGGCATAAATAATAAATATGTAAGTATGTACTTTTAAAATAATACAAAGATTGAAATAAATTTTAATTTATTTTAGTGAAAAACCATTTACACGGCGAAGTTTGTGCCATTTTCTTAAATTTTTTCAAATACATTTTGTAGGGAAATTTAAATATTAGAATTTTTATAAGTTCATAAAAATATATACGGAAAATTTGTAAAATTTATTTAATTTTGAATTTAATTTTATATTTTAGAAAAATATTCAATGAAATGTGTAAAATATTTAAGATTACACCTACACTTTGCGACCAATTGTTCTATTATTATTTTTATAATTTAATTTTTATTATGTTTTTCTATTAATATTGGAAGTATTGACAAAGTCTTTTCTACTATATTTTTTTCATCTTTTCCAAATATTTAATAATGTGAAAAGAAAAAATGCAATTTTTCAACAAACTTTTTCATTTCATTTTAAATCATATAAAATAATACAGGTCTGCTTTTATGTATAATATTCAAATTCAAATTAATTTTTTTTTTTTGAATAAATATTTAAATTAAGTAGGTATATATGTATATATATTTAAAAAAAAATCTTCTTTAGAATATAATTAATAATATAAATAAAACTTAACATATTAAATATAAATTATGTATATAACATAAATATATATATATTTACATGACTAATAAAGGCAAGTTTTCTAAAACTAAGCATCTACATTTAAACTGGTTACATAAAATATGAAAATTTTGCGCTTCAAAATCAAATATTAAAAATTATAAAAATCAAATGATTTAATAGTTATGTTTTATACAAGAAATTTATATTTTATAAATAAATGTTTCAAAAAATGATTAAAATAAAAACAAAAATAATATTTTAAATAATTTTTTGTGAAATTTATAGCTAAATATATTATAAAGACAAATAACAATTTAACTTATAACATTTGCAACAACATTTTTTTTTTTTTTTCAAATTACTTTTAGGAACTCTAGCAAAAGAAGATTAAATTTCGTTATTTTTTTTTTCGATTTTAATTAAATTTTTATTTTAATATTTCTACAGTCACAACAATATTACAATTTATATACTAGAGAAAAACTAGAGTAAAATTAAAAAAAGAAACAGATTTAATAGTGTTAAAGTAAAACTTTAATTTATAATTTTATTTATTTTTGATTTTAATTGATTAAAGGAATTTTAGATTATAAATATAATATTAAATAAAATTGTGATTCTTTAATGAATTTTGTGTCAATACTATTTTAAAATGTTTAAGTATTTTTAAAAAAAAAATAATTTTGTTGGGTTACATTTTCTTCTAAAAGAAAAATTTAAAAACTAGAATTTAGAAATTTAGAAAACTAAATTTAGAATAAATATTTATTGTATTCATTAATAATTATAATAAAAAATGTTTTTTTAGTCAATTAGTTTACGTCGATTTATTGTTAATTCAATTCGATTTAAATTCGCAAAAATTCAAGTAAAATTTTTATTATAAAATTTTTCTTGAATTATATATTTCTTTTTCTATTTTTAAACAATTATTTAAATTATTTTTTATCATACAGAAAAAATCTTAAATAAATGTATAAAATTATTTACAATTCTATTCGTGTAAATATTAATTGTTATATAAAATAACAACAATTTATATATATAATAAAATTAATATTAAAGTTAATAAAATAACAATAAGGTTAATATTAAATATATCGAAATTTATTTTAATTTGAATTTAGTATTCGAAGAATTAAGGATTCTAGATTTTTATATGATGGTTGAATGTTTGCCTAAAATCACATACGACTAGATTTTGATTAAAATGAAAAAGTTAAATATTTTAGAAATCTATTAAAAAATTAATAAATTATTCATATTAATTTAAACTAATTTAGGAATATAATTAAAAGAACATAAAAAATTTAGAAATTTATTTCAATAATATTTTAATTAAAAAATGTAAATTTTTAAGAACATGCAATAGAAAAAAAGCTTCAAATAAAAGGCTTATAAAAACTATAAAATGCATCAGCTTTAATAGCATTTGATATTTTAATAAAGCTGGTAAATATAAAATTTCAATATTTTTGCTTGAACTTTTAATATTTTTTTTTTTATCCTACTTCGCTCCTAGGAAGAGCATAGGGCTGGTGTATGATTATTGTATATAATCATGAACCAGTTTCTGACGTCATTTGGTTTACTAGGTAGGTAACGAACCTACCGTAGTATATAATTAAAGTATTTTAAAATTTTATTTAATTAACATTAATTTTAATACAGATTGTTTATTTTTAGACATCGAATTTAGACATAGCATTTGAACTACATTTAAAGAAATAGTTCTCTAAAGCTGTATTTCAATAAAACAAGAAAAGCACTCTAAAGAAATTTATTTTTTTTAATTCAAAAGTTTAATCAATTAGAATGAATAATGCTCTAAATAATTTATCTATTATTGCATCTTCTACTTTATACAATTCAAAAATGCAATTTATTTCCAAAATTATAAATTAAATTTTTTGTTACATTTTATTATAATATAGTGCTATAAAATTGGACTAAATAATCTACAAAATATTATAATAAGTGACAAACAATCAAAAGAATGATTTAAATTGATAAAAGAATTTTAACAAGTTTTGAAAATATTGAAAAGATAGTTACAAAAATATTGATTATTTTATAATCTAAAATTCCTTTCTGTTTTTTTTTTTAATTATTATTTATGTCAGAAATATTATCTAAATTTGTCTAAGTCTATTATAATAATAATTAATAAAAATATTTAAAACTTATTTTTTTATATCTACATACAACAGTAACAATAAAAAAAAAATAGGTAAAAATAAAAATATTAAATTTATTTTATTTTTTACAAGCATAGTTGTACATAAATTAATAATTATTTTACTTTAAGAATTTTACCATAATATGTTAATTAAGTAATAAATACAATATAATATAATTAGTTAAGTAGTAAGTAATTAATAGTAGTAGTAGTCATAATAGTATATAAAGAAGTAGCAGTTGTTTTAGTAATCTTAATATGGCAATCCAATATTAAATTTTTTTGATAAGAGAATAAAATATTCGTCTTCATCATATTTAATATTTTGACTATATATTCTCGGTTTCCGATTTACAATCATCATCCGGTGTATCATTATTTTTTGCATTGATATTATTATTATCATTATTATTATTATTATCATTATTATTATTATTGTTATTATTATTATCATCGTTATTATTATTATCATTATAATTATTATCAATATCATTAGTATCATTATTAATAATATTAATATTATTATTACTAATATTAACGTCATTATCATTATTAGTTGATGTTGTCATTAATGTTGTTGTCATTGTAGTTCCTGTTGTCGTTGTTGTTGTTGTATCATAATGATCTAAATTAATATAATTATTTATATTTGTTTCATCAGTACAACTAAAATAATTTGATGATGAATTACTTTCATCCATATTATTAGTATTAAATGTATATGCATTTAATTTTCTACTACATCCACTAAGTCCAAGTCCAATTCCACCACTTAATCCTAAACCTGATTCTGTTGTTTTACATATAATTGGTAGATTACTATATGCTGCTGTATTAAAATTCATTTCTTCTAATTCTTTTTGTAATTGTCTTAATTCTGGATAATCTTCAACTAAATCACGTAAATTATATAATATGTCTAAAGCACGATCAATTGCATCATATTGCCTTTTTGATTCTTTTATTAATATTTCTTGTTGATTATAATCCATAATATCATGCTCGTGATCATGATCATGTTCATCATTACTAGTATGATCTAAATCTACATCAATATCATTAAGATGTTTATATGTACAGAAATGTCGTTTTTCCATTCCAATAAATAGCTTCTGCTGAAATAATAAACTCTATAATATAAAATAAAACATATGAATAAATAATTTTAAATAAAATTAATTAATTTGCAATTTTTTAAAATAATAAATTAATAATTTTGATAAGTAATTTACCTCTTGACATATTTGTATTAAATAATTAATAATATCCGATTCCTCTAAATAGCCCTGTGAATTCCAATCCTGCAGATATCTTATAATTTCATCTTTATAGAATTGCTTTTTTGTACCACTACAATCCATATCCGTTATAATTGTAGTTGGTATACTTTTAATATCTGTCGCTGTAGTATAATTTTGTCCATTAGTTAATTTTGATTGCTGCTCTTGGTTTAATAATTGACTTAAATTGCATATATCTTCATTTAGACGCTGTTTTCGAAATTATTTTGTTTTCAACAAATTTGTAGATGGTTGTAAATTCATAAATAATAAATTTTAAAGAATAATTTATATTTGAGAATTGTATTTCTATACTTATTTATTTAAATATATGTACATAAATTATAGAACCTAATTTGTTAAATTTTGAAAAGAAAAAAATTCTCGTATTCACAAGAAATAAGAATTTTACAATGATAAAATGATTTTGTAAAATATTATTATGATTTTTTAAATGAAAATTATACTTTAAACAATTTATTTTATGATCGTTGAATTAGTTGATGGGTGCAAATTAAAATTAAAATTAAATTTTACAATAAATTTAAAAAAGTTTTTTTTTAAAGGTACCCTGTTTCCAAAATTAAACAATTGTTTTTTTATAATAATGATTTTTCAAAAACTACTATTATAATATACCTCTTGCTTTCTTTTTTAGTTAACTTTAATGATGAAATGATGAGCTTGCTTTGTATTTTTACCTTTGATGATTCATTTACACTTATACACAATGTTTTTTTTATACATGAATTTGAAACATAAATAACTTTTATTTAAATTTGAAAACAATTTTCCAAAATGAATATTTTAATATGGAGGTGTTAAATGTTTTACCATATCGCCATTACAATCTCTAAGTTGTTTCAATAAAAATTAGATGTGTAAATTAGTTCATGATGAGAACATTCTTATAATTAACAAAAATAAAATACCAAATTTTCTGCAACAATGTTATATTGAAAAAGTTAGGAGAAGAATATGTTTTCACATTATAGTTGGAACACGAGCTCTTGTAAATTAAAAATAAATGAATTGTGGTAATTTATAATTAACAAAAAAAAATCTACCCTATCTAATCTATAAATGCTATTTCAAAAATATTGGTACTATCTTTCTACAATTAAATGTTAAAATATTGAATTTATTTATACCGTCTAAAGTGTTTAAATAAAAGATAAAAATTTTTATTTTAAAACTCATATAAAACCATCGTAAATTAAATTTATAAAATTTGAAATTATTCAAAACGAAATACAAAAATATTTATTAAAACGAAAATTAATTGAATGTTGATAAAGTTTTGAATTTATTAGCAAATAGCATAATTTAGCATTGAGGTTTTTTTAGATATCAAATAAATTAATACATTCGTGCTTAATTTTTTATACAACGCGATCCATTGAAAAAATAAATCAAAAATAATCCCAAAATGAAAAAAAAATATAATATATATAAATTTATATATTCCATATTTATTTTCCTAACAAAATCAAATCCAATTAATAAATAACCAATTTCTTGTTTTATTTAGTAAATTTTATTTACATTTTATAATAAATTTTATTATTTAAATTCAAAGTTAAACTTCTGTTTGTATTCATTTAATCTTTGAATTTGTACCTATGTACATTGTAAATTATAATTTTTAAACCTTCATATAAATATCAAACAATAATAAATTTTTATACATAATTTAAGCTAGCAACAAACAGCGTTGCAGAAATAGTTTTGAAATTATTTTAGTTAAAACTTTATCGTTTACTATAATAATATTCTGTTATTTTCCCTGCTATACTAAATATTTGAATAAAAATGTAAAGGAAAAAATAATTAAAAAGTATGATGAACGTGAAAAACAAAATAAGAACAAATTTTTTGTTGAAAAACCAACACCACAAAAAAAAACATTACTACTTAACATTTTGATTACCATTATGTTTTCTAGCATTAGAGATATTAAGTATGTACATTACTTAATTTTCAGTGCGATTCAAAATTGCTAATTGTTTCAAATAAGGTCATTTAAGATTATAAGAAAAATTATGATTTTTCATTATCTTCAAATGTTCTTTAAAAATTAGACTTTTGCATATTTCATTAATAAAATTAAATCTGTAAATTATTATAAAATTTCGGACTATTAGACTATTTAGAACAAAGACAATATTAAATATTTCACCAAATCGTATTTAGCCCTCTATATCAAAAGCATACGAAGAATAATGGAATTTGGTAATCAAAATATTAAAATTTTCTTATAAATTATAATTAAAATAATATTATGCAATTTTTTTCCCAAATAAAAAGCGATTTTTATTCAAATAAATTATTTTTATAAATTCTTTTTTTAAAGTTGTCTTCCAAAATTCTTTTTGATTTTACTGTTTTGAAATGAACGTGACACTTTCAAATACCTTAAATTTAAAACTTAAAATAGAAATTAGTATTATATAAATAATTATAATAAGAGTAAATTCATTATTTTAAAGAATATTTGAAAATTCAAAATTAATAAGTAAGTAAAACAAAAAAAAAAATTTCTTATTTATGGAGGAAATGCTTTTATATTTTATTTTTTTAACAAAATTAATTTTATATAATTAATAGTTGATTATTAGAATTATTAGAAAATTAAGTCTTGACTTGAATTTTAAATTTACTTGGAAATTTTGAAAATACATAATAATATTAAATAATAAATTTTGACTTTGGCAAATATTTTAAAAATATATGTACATAAAAAAAGCAATTTTATTCAAACTAAGGGAGATTCTTTTCTATCCGGATCCGACTAAACATTTTTCGTAATTTATATTAATTGAAAATAAAATTCCCTACACGCATTTTTAATAGTTTTTTTTTTAATATCGAGTAAATGGTAAATAAAACTCGAAACTTATACTTGTTACTTTTACTTACAAAAAAAAAAAATATCAAACATAATATTTCATAAAACTGATTTCAAGTGATGCAACTGAATGGTGCAACAGGGTAGGATATTAGGAACTTTTACATAACACTTGATACGTTAAAATTTCATAAAATCATAATGATTAAAATGTAAAATGACATTTTATACTAAAATGTAGAAGCAAGAATATAATTGCAGATTTGGGTGTGAAACAATTCAAAACCATGAATAAAAAGTGAATTTCAAGGAAATGATATTATAATTTTGTAAATATAAAAATTAAATATTACAATTTTAATTAATCTTTGGTTTTATTTTATTATAAATATAAAAGGTAAAAATAATCTCATATTCTTTTTTTGCTTTTTAAGTTTATATATAATGTAATTGAAGATGCTTTTGAATATACAGTAAAAGAAAATTAAATCAACAACTATTTGTGAAAGCAAACACCATTTTGAAATTGTATTTGAATTTCAGATTGTTGTTAAATATTACGCATATATACTATATACTTTTATGGAAAAGCTGCAACAGACTTGTTTCCAATAAATTCACTTGGAAGTTTAGATATTATGATTAATAAAAATATTATAAAAAAACCTCAAATAAAAAAAAAGTGATATTTAAATTAATAATCAAAATTTGTAGAAGAATTCGATTCCAGAGAAACTTTAAATTCCGAAAACAAATCATGCTTTCCTTAAAGATGTTACAACGCCTAATTCACATTCACATTGGCACATGATTTATCAAAATAATAAAGTTTTTGAAAAAAAAAAAATTATAACATTTCGAATAAAATCAATATTAAGTATCTCTTAATTAAGATTAATGTTATCAAAATTTTGACTGATTATGTAGATGCAAGTATATTTTATATAAATTTTTATTAATACGATTTTATTTGTAATTGATTTATGGATTCAACTCTAACCGCAACGAACACTGATTTCAGAAAAGAATTCTGAAATTTCTTTCTAATATTTAAAAAAGAAATTAGCATTATTAAATTTTCATACATTTAACGTATATACCAAATTAATAACGTACATAATTAGTTTCAAAATACATAATTATTAAACTATATTAAAAATAATAATTATTGTTAATGGTTTACCATAAAAAAGAAAATTATAATTAAAACTGAACTAGACTAACACCACTTTAAAACAGGAATATATAAAATTTTTAAACCTTAAATTAAAAGATTTTTGTTTTTGAGAAAAGAAAAAAATTTGCCTGTTTTAATAAGTTATATAAATTATAAATATGTATGTATGTACATAATTATCTATAAATTTTATTATGTAACTGAGAATACTCTATTTATTTACAAGGTTCCCTTCTACATTTGCTTTGTTTTAATAATTAATAAAAAATTTTATGATTTACAAATAAAAATATTAATTTGTAAATTTACAAAATATTAAGTTAAAAATTCCTTCTAACAAAATACATACAATACAAAATAAAAAAAAAATATAAAAAAAAAATTAAGCATGAAGTGAAATTGTTAAGATGAAAAAACAAAATGTTTCTCTTTAATTTAATAATAATTGCAAATTTTCTAAGAATTTTGAATAAATTTCATCTAAATGCGCATAATATGTTCAAATTACTATTTTTAAATATGTTATGAATGTATAATTAAATTTATTTTTTTTCTATTTTTTTTTTAATATAAATGATCAAATTTTTTAGTAACATTTTTCTTATTTTTCAATGTAATGAACAATTTTTTTTGATTTTTCAGCTTTTCTTTTTTTGTTTGTAATAATGATAAACTATATTAATAATTATAAATCTTAATTATAAATTAAAAATGTGTACAATTTAATATTTAATGGTGGCCGATTTTTTTAATGCTTTTTCATTACTATTTTCTAAACTACTAAATTTAAATTTTTTTGATTTTATCTTTTTTTTTTTGTTTTTCAAATATATCATTTTGTGTTTTTCTTTTGCAATATTATTGTTATTTTTTTTTGTTTTTGGTATTTTTTTTTAATTAAAATCTTACATCGATTTCATTACGATGTCTTTGTATTTCAGCCTTACTAGTTGAGAGATCATTTCCTTGCATCATTAACTCTTGTGTTGCATCCATTAATTCATCACGTAATTTAATATTCATGTCTTCAATATCTTTCATTTTTTCTAACATTTCTTCTTTATTTAATTGTAATTTATTTCTAAAAAACAAAAAAATAAATTAAAAAATTGTTATATAAAAGATTTGTAATATATTAAAATGATTGCAAAATTTTATCTTACTTATCAGTTATTAATTGTTGTATACAATTATCATTATCCATTTGTATCAGTCTTAAAACTTTGAGTAATTTTGTAACTAAATTATCAACTTCAATGACTTGATCAACTAGCGCTTGTGCTGAACAATATTCACTAATTGAGGGCATTTCAGCTACAGAATCATGACAACTCATATCTTCTGACATACTATGATCTGGTTGATGCCTAAAATTTAAATTAAAGAATTAAAATATCGTATCGAAATTAATGCCCCAAGAAATTCATTTAAATTTAAACAAGATTTTATACATTACAGATGCTGTAGTTAAAACTAAATTATATTTTAATGAGTTTTCGTTTTTGAAAGATTACTATTAAAAGATAATCCTATATTAAACCTTAATTATTTTCATTTATATTCTTATTATTCAGTTTTACTTACTTGCATTGATTTAGTTTTTGTGCTGCCATTGCAGTATTTATTTGCATTTCAATTTGTTGCCTGTTTGTAATTGCTTGTGATAAATTTTGTAAAGATTCATCACCATGCATAATATCGGAGGGTAAATCCATTTGTGATATCATTACATTTTGTGATGATACCATATTATGTGAATGTGAATCAGGCATTGTAACATCTTCGAGGACGTTATCCATCATAAGGCATGGTTCGGTTTCGGAATCTAACATTTCTGTTGAATCGGATTCTTCTACAAATGATAAAATTAGAAATTAAAAATTAAAATAAGAAAATGATTGAAAAATAATTAAAATAAAAATTATTTACCTCCATTTTGGGTGTTATCAGTATTTAATTTATTTTGTTTATTATTCCTATGAAATTTTTTATTATTAGATGACATAGTTGCACTTCTAATGGCACTTATAACTGCAGCAATAAATGATTGATTTCTTTGTGGTGACAAAGATCCATCATTTTGATCAACTGATAATTGTTGTTGATATTGTTGATTGTGTTGTTGATATTGTTGTTGCGATTTACCATTTATTTCATAATTTATACTTGAATTTAAACTTCCATTCATATTAATATTACCATTACAACCATTTTTATTTATTTCAGATTCTGGACTGCCATCAAAACTGCTACCACTATTTGGATATGCTTCATTATGAAAAACGACGTCCTAAAATTGAACAAAATATAAGCACATTAATACTTTAAAAATGAAGAGACCAATTGAAAATAAATTTAATCAATCATTAATTATGTAAGTATTATGTTAATTTATATATGTATATATGTATGTATGTATGTGTGTATTATTTAATCTAAATAATTAGCTATATTAAGAGAAATATTATAATTTTCTAAATGTAATAAATAACAAATTAACCTAAAATTATGGTATAATAATGTGAATGTCGCCATTATTAATAAGCTTCGTTGATTACAAATATAAAAACTAAATTAGGGATCTCCTAAGGATATTTTTCATGAATTTTTAATTTTTAGTTTTTTATTTTACATGGTGAATCATTTAAATAGGCAATTAATAGCTACAGAAATCGCGAGAAACTACAAAATATATCGACTTTTGTTTCTGTACTTTTTAAAGTTTCTTCGACTTTTGTTTCTGTAGCGACGTTTAATTGAGCGCAATAAAAAAGTATTTTATCCGAAAAGATCAAGACTAATATCTGCATTTTGGATACTTCCATTAATCACTGCAGTATATTTCACCGCCATTGTTGTTATAACCAACAAAGATGGATTTACATTCATTGACCTTGTTAAATCATTGTTGTTTTGTGTATCAGGAAAACTTTTTTTACAAAATCCTGAAGTAAACGGAAATTTTTATGTTTCTCACACTTTTATAATGATTCACCCTGTAAATTTTACTATTTTCTAAAAATGGTATACTATAAATAAATGGATAAAATGTTTTCTTTAAACCCATGTTTCTGCATTCTACACAAATATTTAAACTTAAAGCTACATGATACACAATTATTTATCTATTCTCAAATTCAAAATAAATGCAAAAAGGAAAAAAAATTTATGCTAAAAAGTTAGAAAAAAAAGAGTTCGAAATTAAAAAAAAACGGGGGGAGGTAGGGAGAACCGCCAGGATTAAAAGCAACATGAGAAAAAATTTTTTTGCAGCATTTCTTGTTTTGCTTTCAACAAACTGTTTTTGATTTTGTTTTTCCATGCTTGTTTTTTTATCTTTTTTATAATGAAAGTATTTTTTTTTTTTTGATTTGCTTGTTACATGTTCACAATTTTTCTAATTTTTTGCATCATCATCATCAATATCTTTATCATCATCATCATCATTATACATGAAAGATGTTGATTTCGATCAACTTACCCACCATTTCATCAACATTATCATCATCATCACCATCATCGCCATCATTATCATCATGATTATCATCAACATTTTCATCCAGATGATCCATACTACCATTTAAATAATAGTCAACTTCATCTGGCAGTAATCCAAGACACTGAATTGATTGAAAGATTTTCTTTTTTTTTTGTATTTTATTCTGCTTTTATTTTAATTATATTTTGTTTATAGTGAATATGTGTTGGTGTATGAATGTGCATACATATACATATATACATATGTACATTTGAGTTTTATGGTAATGATTTATGTTAAGAAAACTTTTTTTTTTATCTTAATTTTTATTATTTTTTTATTATTTTAAAAGGATTGTGGTGCATAGGATGCGATGATGGACAAAATTATAAATTGCAAATTTTAAAATTTACACTCTTACAAAATTTATTTTTTTATAAATGTATATTTTGACCTTTCAACTCTAAGTAAACAAATTTAAACACAAAATCATAAAAAGGTGTTTGATTTATATAATGGTGCTTTAAGAATTTTTGAATATCTAAACTAAATCAATAGGATTCATTTATTCACATATATGATTACTAAACACTCATTTAGCCATCGATATATCAACAATTTTTCAATATCATATTTTGATAGTAACGGTATTAAAACTTAGGAGTGTGAATGCTTTCCATAATTATTAATACTATTAAAAGTTAATGAAGACAGAACTAAACAGAACTATGGTACATTTCAATTTTGGATAAGGCTTTATTAAATGTTTAGATACGAAACTTTTAAATCAGGTGACAATTATTGGGATATTTGAGCACAAATGTACATATTTTAACGAATTCAGAATATGTATAAAAACTAAAAAATTTTAAGACATTAACGTATCTATACGGCCTACCCGTTCTCGATACTTCCACATACATAACATTATAGGTACATCACGTTCGCTTAATGGGTTATTAAATTTTAAATAATATGTTCGTCACATTTTTCAAAAGTTCCGTAAGAAATCTTTCTGAATCTCTTATAGTAAACATTTATTTGAGCATTCAAGCACTATAAAAGCACGATTTAAATTATATTTATGTTTTAAAATATTAGAAAAATTTTAAATTTTGAAATTCTTAGATACTTAACTGGCCTAACCAAATAAAATTCTTGATAGACCACCGGCAATAGATTAACTATAAATTATTAATAAATTTTTGTCTCCAAGTATAAAAATTAGTTTTTATTTAAAAAAAAAATCTATAATTAAATCAAAAGACTCACAATTACAGACTTTCTTACCTCTAAATCTTGTTCTGAAATATTATAGGATGATATTAATTGTTCAACAAGACTGTCTAAACGTGAATTAAGACCACTCAATGCCATCGACGCTCCTGATACTGCAGAATTTTTTTGTGACGATAACTCTTTGGTACGAATTTCTAAAGCTGTGTATTTTGACTGCATTGTTTTATTTTCTTGCCTAAAAAAAATTCAAATATTATTTAAGCTCAGGAAAATTAAATTTCATTAAAATAAATAAATTATTATTTTTAAAATTCATACCGTCTTTGTTCATTTAATCGAACTAAATGCCTACATTCATCTCTTAAAACTTTAACTTCTTCCTCTTTATCTTCTAAACGTTTTTTAAGTGCGTGCAAATCATTTTCAGCCTCTTTAAGTGCATCACATAATGAAACTTTTTCATTTTGTAAAAATTCCTGTAACTCATTTGATTCCCTCTCTAAAGTGATTTTTTCATTCATTAGACATTCTTGAGCCGACAATGAACGATGAACTTCATTCTGCAATGTCCTACAAACACGTCTTAATTTATTAATTTCTTCTTGCTTTTCATGCAATTCATGACCTGACATTTGTATTTGTGACTCAAGCATCAATAGACTATCATAACCTTGTTCTTCAGTTGGAGTTCCACGAGCTAATTCTAACATACCAACAACACGTTCTGTATTTATGTTTAATTCCTTTTGAATAGCCAATTTTTCTTCACGTTCTTTATTCAATTGAATTTCCATACTAATTAATTTTTTTGTTTTATCTTCTAAACGTGTTTGTAGGTCATTTTTAGTTTGAGTTGTTTGTTGTAATTTTTCTTTAAGAGCTTGAATCTCTTTATCACGTATATCAGATTGAGTTCCTGCAAAATTTTTAAAAATATGAAATATAAGTTACGATTTTAAATTGTGTGATAAAGTCTATTAAACAATTTCATGCTGCTTACCTTTTGTTTTCATTTCGGCTGCATCAACTTTAATTAATTTTACGTTGCTATTGCCAGAAAGGGCATTTTCAAGATCTTGACCAGTAACTACAGTTTGAGAACTTGTTTCATGATAAATTTTTGTTTTCATTGTTTGTTTACGAGACCTTGAAGATGGATGTGGTGGAAGAATTTTTGATGGAGTTGTTTCCCTGTAACTTTGTGATTGTGGTAATTGTTGTAAGGATGTTTTCTTTCCTGGAATAATAACTGAACTAGACATTTTATCTCTTGTTGCTGAATTACTTCTAGAACCTCTACCATTCGAATTTGATGTTAAATCCTCTACTGATTTTAACTTTTTACGACGAGGTAATGTTGCATAAATATTAGACGAACCTGATGCATATGATTTTAAATTATCCATAGTCATTAAACTGACTCTTGCTTTAATTGATGCAAAATCTGGATTCGCTGAACCGCTACGGCTTTGACATTGTGGTATTTTATTTAAATTAGAAATTGAAACACCAGTTCGTCCACCAACTGATGGCCAACGTCCATCATCTGATGGTGTTCCCGGTGTTCTCGAATTTCTAGTTAATGATGGTGTTCTTTGTACAAAACGATTTAAGCTTGGTGATGTAGACATTAATGTACCTGGCAATGAATCTGGCTTTGGTGGACGACTCCTTACTGGTGTCGTTTTAATTGGCGGTGTTGCTGCTTTACTTGATGAACTGGAAGCGCCAGCTGATGATCCTTTTTCACGAGATCTGGCACGTTCACGGGTTTGTAAAACTGGCATATTCGGACGTGTTAAAGATTGTGTTCTATGTATTGATGATGAACGTTTTGATGCTGATGATGTTGGTGTTGATGTTGATATTAGTTTATTATTCAACTGACCAGCAGCTGATGATGTACCCGATAATAATTGTTGATTTAATAATGTTTGTTCTGTTGTCAATTTTTTTGCTAATAATGATCTTGGAACATGTGATTCAATTGTTACTGTTACTTTCTTTCGTATACCACTTTGTTTACTACGTTGAGTTGTAGGTGCACCAGTAACCGAGGAACTTTCACTACCATTTTCACTATTACATTCATAGTTTGTAGCATTTGTTCCGGGAGCAGCTGCATTTGGTGATTTTGGAGGAATATCGCCAACATCAGAACTATAACTAATCATACTAGAATTACATGATAAATTTCCATTAAGGCCATTTGGTTCATCAAGACCACCGTTACTACTGGCATAACCTCCACTATTGCTGCTTAATGCACGTTGTAAACCAATTGATAAACAATTTGCAATATCAACACCACTATCACTACCATCACCACCATATCCATGAGTCAATTTCTCTTTACTATCATTTAATTCTATAGCTGCCATTTTGTTGCCAAGTACTTCTTGAACTACGATTTCAGCATTGTTTATAATTGTTGTTGATGGACTTAAACTTTTTTGTTCCGGTACAGATTCATCATTATAAGTACCATTCATTGTATCGTGTCGGATACCATTTAAAGTTGATTCAACTTTAACTGGTTTAGCCATTTTAGATGACATTTTGGCCAAATTTTATGTTTTAAACTGGACTGCATAACATTAAACTGAAATAAGTAAATAAAAAAAAAATCTAATTAATTTCTGGTTTAATTATTAAATAATTTACTTTTTGCGGTTTTAAATTAGTAATCAATTTAATTGAATTTAGCTAATTAATAAGTTTAATTGTAATTTGATTTTAAATTTAAATAAAAATTATCAGATAATATGTACAGATGTTATTATTTGTCGCCATTAATAAACAAAAAAAAATTATAAACTACAGAGAATATTGGAAACTTATATTAAAATAAATTATTTGAGCTAGAAACATTTTCCAAATTTCTGAATTTATTACTGACATTGGATCTGATTTTAAAATTCATAGCACTGAAGATTAAATGTAAAGCTTCAAGTTTTTGATTTCTTATTCTTTCGCCCCTGAAACACATTAAACCAGAATAAGAGCATTCACTTACGAATTCATAACACAATTACTTTTTTCTTCAACAAATAACAGTTGACAAAATCTAATGAACTTAGACCCAAAATTCTAATTTCATTTAAATGTAACATCAAAATATAATGAACTACATATTTAAAAATTCTATTTGCTGGCTTACGTTATCTCCCAATATTAAATGAATTTTTATTTTAATCAGGGTAAGTAAACAAATTTTCTTAAATAAATTAGATTTTCATTCCGAACCAACCTACCTAAATTCAACGTTTTTATTAAATCGGCTGTTCAAAGAAAAAAAAACTCTTCCAATTTTTCTTCTCACTTTTACTTTTTTTTCTGCTCTCTGTTTCTATCAGATGAAAATTTTCATTCGAAACAATTTTCACTTTTTCTACAACCATAACAAAAAAAAAAGTAAAACAAACAATAGAAAAAAGTAAAAGAAAAACCCTCCAAAGAAAAACATTTTTTTAAAAACATCTGTGCCTCTAAATTTGGACATTTTTAACAACCATTTAAACGGAAAATAAAGAAAAACTTGACAACAAAAAAGAATTTAAACCTTTAAATTTTTTTTTCTGTTTTCTATTCGGTCGATGAAATTTTACTGGAAATTTTACAAAATAAAAACACACACCAAAAAGATAAAAATACCATGAAAAAAAAAAGTTCCCTACCCATTTCCAATTTTTTCTTCGTCACCAGGCTGAAAATCGTTTTTCTTTATTATGAAAAAAAAAGAAAAAATTAAATGAAAAAAAGTCACCTTCTGACCCACAAAATCAAATTGTTGCTGATTATTGCATATAAAAAAAGAAATTCATAATGCATATGGGAAAAATAAAAAACTGACGACGTTGTTGATAAAAAAAAATTGAATTTCTTGTAAAAACGACAACACCGGCATTTCAAATGTGTATTATGAACGATCAACTAGGGGCGCTCCTTGCAAATTTTTGTGCATATATTGAAAATCTGCACGAAAAATTGAAAAAATTACAATAAAAAATTATTTTAATTAGTGTAAAGGTGAATTTTAAGCATTTTTATTTTACGATAAAATAAAAAATTTAAAATTAATAAATTAAAAGAAATTTTATATAGCCTTTGTTTGATTTATACAAGGTAAGGAAAGGAACAGCATTTAGTCTATCTCTAAGAAATAAATTGAAAAATGCCTTTCAATGTTAAAGGCGCATTTTGGATCTAACATCTTAATTTAAAATAATAAAAATAAAGTATTAATAATTTTTATAACCTTTTTATGTAAACTCCTTCACTATACACAAATATTATTCACAGCTAATATTTTAAAGTTTATTTTAAAATATTCTCAAACTAAATTTACGCTAGATATTAACACAAAAATTCAAAATGTTAAAGTAACTTAAATGACTAATAATTATGGCTCTTATAAATAAAAATTTTAACCTCTAATAAAAAGACAAATACACTTGACATTTTCTGAAATTTTTTTATACCCTGCACTTCGCGAAGAGTATATTCACTTTGGTATGGAGTTTGTAACCACTTGAAAGAGTCGTCTCCGGTATGGACATATATATATATATATATATTCTTGTTCAGCGTAAAATTCTGCGTTGAATTAGACATATGTCCGTTCGTCTGTCCGTCCGATCACACGATAACTCAAAAACGAATAATGCAATCAATACCAAACTTATACAAGTTTTTTCTTTTAAATTTTTGGAAAAAAAAATAATTTTAAATATTTGGAAAATTAATAAAGCTAGATTCATGAAACTCAATCTCCGTGTGATCAGACGTAGTATCCGTGAAGTTTCTATTGAATGGTTTGGCAGGTTCAAGTAATTGTTATTTTAGCAATTAAAGTTATTTCTAAATATTTCAAAAATAAATTTTTAAACTCAAATTGTCAAAGTGCAGGGTATCATTAAGTCGGTTTATACTGACTGAAACGCTTCTACTTGTTTTAGATTTACATTAATTATTTGATTTTTCCTCGGAAAATTTTGATTTTTAGGACACAAAAAATAAGGGACCGAAGAAACAAGTGTATAGAGTGCATATTTTGCCTTTTTAATTTGATATACAATACTACACTAAATTAAAAATAATTAAGCGAGGTAGAGGGGTAAAGGAAATGTTTACTTTAAAAAAAAAACCTGTTATAAGTATTTTTGAATAACCCGTTATATGACAGTAACTGTACTCATACTAAAGACAAATTTCTAATCTTTCATTTGACCTTCGGTTGACCTTTAAAACTTCTTGAATCGAGAAGATTTAAGCTTTGAAAGGTTGTATAAAATTTTATCTTTGAAGGTCTTTTTTGGTCTCTTGCAGTGCTTATCGTCATATAATTGATTGGTACTATAGGCAAAAAAAATTCTTGTCTAACCATAGAACAAACCATAAGAATACATGCAGAATTAACAGTCTAACCAATTCTTGTCTAAACAGTTACAAATTATTCATTGTCATATTTTTTGAATAAGATCTGGTTTGATTTTAATTATACATACTTATGTATGTTGTATCAAATACGACATACATTGTATGTTATATGTCTGGATGTATAACATTCTTTTCGAAGCAATCTTTAACCTCGTATGGTGCATAGTCAAAACTTATAACATTTTAAAGCTTTTTTTTTTACAATCCTCAGCTCTAATGTAGACTGCAAAATTAATATTGTCATTAAAAGTATACACATGTATAAATTGTTAAGTACACAAAATTGAAAAAAGTTTGTGTATGATTCAAAAGATACAGACATAAATTCTAGACAAAATTCATAATAAATTTCGGTGAAATTTTATAACGTAGCCAAAATTTTTATAAAATAATATTTTGTGAACTTGAATAAATTCGATCGATATTATGATTTTTAAAAACAAAGGTTTTAGAAAAAAAAAAAGAGAAAAAATTAATTTCGTCATAAATCAAAATAGGGATATATATGTATGTGATTGTGTATATTAAGTTGCATATAATATATGTTTGAATGCATGTATACATATTTGTTTGAAAATGTATGTGTGTTTTATACAGGTTGTTAAGTGTGAGCTGAAATTCATATTATTAATTTTTTTGGTGTTGTGTAAAAATTCCCCAGTTGTCATCTACATATGTACATATTTTTTTAATTTTACTGCTTTTTAGAATTGAGAGATATGGAGGAGTTATTGAAGGCAGATATAAACAAAATAAATCATTTCTAAGATTCTGAATTTAAGAAATTCAAATGTTACCGTTTGTAAATTATGAAATTTTTATCTGATCTTCGAACTCCTCAAGAACTAAAACATTGTTACAAAATAAAAGAACGAGAAAACAGAGACGATGCAAAAATGCTATTTTAAATTTCATTCTTTCATCTGCTTTCAGTTGAAAACAGAAAAAGAAAAGTAATTTTCCGCGGCGAAATGTTACACATCATTTAGTATACACATATATGAATGGAATTGCTCACAATAAAGCGAAATTACCTTCGCAAAAGTTACCAATGGCGGCAAAATAACCTTAATACCTATTATATGAAAAATACTGAACTGTTAATTTTGCCTTTCCGCTATTGTTCTATTTTTGCAATATTAAACGAATTCATTGCAATTTATTAAAAAATTTTCATTTTTCATTTTAAAACAGTCCAATTTTTGTCTATCATCAAACAATTGTGTATTTCAGCAATTTTTCAGCAATTATGATAAGCACGTAGTCAAGACTTTCTGAATCAAGTCAAGTTGAGCTGTTTTTGATAAAAAGCGTATACATTTTTTAGAACAACTACATATGTTGTACCTACTTTATTTTAGCACACTCTGTACATTTATTTTAAAATTTTAACTATATTTTATATAAAAAATAAAAATTCCATATATAAAAATATAAAGAACCGCTTGACTCATCTAAAAATTATTTTATTGACTCTTCATTTTATTTTTATTGTCATTATTTTGACTTAAAGGCAAGAATTCTATTATTTTCTTTTTCATTCTTTACAAAAGGATAAAATATAGATTTTCTTTCATCATCTATTTTTACAAAATACACTAGGCGAATTATCTTGTTTGCCATCTATATAGCAGCTATGTAGTGTTTGATTGTAAAAAAGGATAATAGTTTATTTCTGTTTCAGAAAAAACAAAATCGAAAAAGGAAAAAAAATTCATAATTTAGGTGGTTGACATTTATTCATAAAAATGAAATGTTGAATTAACTTTTATCTCGACTAAAAGGACAAAAAAGGAAAAAAAAATTAATTTAATTTTTTTTTTAATTTAGATAAAAATCATAAAGTGTAAGAGATTCTGTTATTATTGTATTACAAAAAGCTCATTATTTCTGGTCAACTTTTAGTAATTATTAAGAGAAATTTATAAAAATGTAGTTTTTGCTAAATTTTCTAACTTTAAGCCCGTTAGGTTAGCAAAACTAACAAATATGTAAATGAATTTGGAAACCAATGAAATTAAAATCGGTAAACCAGTTAAGCGACAACTTAGGTTACACTAACAATTAAATTTTCTTGTACTTAAATTTATTATAGCATTACTGAATATTGTTCGATACAACTATTAACGGATATATTGATAAGGTTTGGCGTCTCATAA